CATATCAAAGGACCTTCCATTAGAAATATATCATATTAACACCGATAGCATTACATTTCATTGATGGGTACACAACCTTGGTTTCCTTAATTAAATTAATCACATTCTCATTACAACTTAAGTCAAGTTTCACACTACTCAAGTAACCTTTTCACACCTATTCCCCGCGGGATTCAACCCCAACCTTGTTGGGTTATTATATTTGACACCGACCACCTTACACTATTTATTTAAAGTGTAATTTGAGCGTATCAAATTTTGGCGCCGTTGCCGAGGAATACGGTTTTGAAATTACTAATTAGTGTGCACTTTACTTTACGTCCTCTTCTATTCCATCACACTTTGCTTGCTTTGCTTGGTGTTGATAGGAAAACATGTCCGAGTATGATGAAGAAGAGAATCCTTTTGCGGACATAGATGAGTACATTGAGGATACAAATGCTATTGTACCTCCAAGAGTTGATGTTGCCACTTTCAAGGTGGAACACGGTTTGATCCTAATGCTCAAGGCAGAGGGGTTTTTCAGAAATTCCACCAATGATGATCCGACACAACATCTCAAAAACTTCTTGGGTGTGTGTGCGATGCACAAGCAGAACAACGCCTTAGATGATGCCCTAAGATTGAGGGTGTTCAAGTACTCACTGACTGGAGAAGTGAGGAAATGGATTCAATATCTACCACCAAATACCATTCATTCTTGCCTGAACTTGTTTGAGCTTTCCTAGCTAAATGGTTCCCGCAAAGCAAGAAATCTAAGCTCCGAGATAAAATTTTCTTTTTCAAGCAATTACCGGGAGAACATCTACATGAAGCATGGGATCAGTCAAGTTATATTTGGTGAGGTCGCCGAATCATGGTTTTCCGAATTCTATCTTGTTGGAGAAATTCTACATGGGCTTAGATGCTATGAATCAATCTATAGCGAAAAATACAGCTGATGGATCTTTTATGGATAAAACATTTGCGAGGATCACACAAATCCTTGACAAAATGGCAAAACATAACCAAGCTTAGCACTTAGAGGACACCACGGGTGGAATTGCATATGGTACTCCTTCCTTGACCAACATGATTAAGGAGAACCAAGAAAGAGATCAAGTAATTGCCGGGCTTTCCACCAACGTCAATGTGTTGACAAAGATGTTCACTGAAAGCCAAACAAAAAAGGTGAATGTGGTGGAAGATGTTCAACCCACATTAAATGAGAGATTACGGGGAAGCAAATTAGGTCAACAACTCTCAAGGAGGTTTTCAAAGGCAACCATATCAAGGGTCAGGACAACAAAACCAATGGAGACCTAACCCGCAAGGGCAAGGAAACCAACAGTGGCGAAATGACAAAGGTAGTTCAAATCAAGGGAATTGGAGTAACAACAACAACAACTTTTCAAATCGGAGTTCAAACCCCTATTTTCCACCAAAGGGGCAATATTCCAACTCTCCGCATTGGAAGGAAGGTTCTTCAAGTGATTCCGAGTTGGAAAACATGCTTGAAAGAGTATTGCAAAATCAAGACAGGTCCAACACTTCAATGAGGAATATGACCGAGCTTGTCGGTTCTCATACCACATATATCCAAAAGTTGGAGATGCAAATGAGAGATCTCTCAAGAGAGCAGAATCCGAAGCAAAATGGCGCACTCCTGAGTGACACAATTATAAAGCCTAAAGGTAGTGGGAGCAGTCCAACTTCTCATTTTATGGCAATCGCAACTCGGAGTGGGAAAATACTTCAAGGAGAAAATGAACAAGTGGTCGAAGTGGAAGATTCCGAACAAAGTTGAGAACAAGTTGAGGTGCCAGTTGTTGTTGAAGCTAAAAAGGTCCCAGAAGAGGTGGAAATTCAAGAAGTGAACCGGGAAGAGGTTAAGGAAAATGTGAAAGAGACACCAAAAACTCTAGCACCAATTCCTATACCCCCTCCTCCTTTTCCTCAAAGACTTGTTAAGAAGGTTGATGATAGCAAACTCGAGAAGTTCTATGACATTCTCAAGCAATTATCGATGAATATTCCATTTGTGGAAGCATTTCAAGAGATGCCAGGTTTTGCTAAGTATTTGAAAAACTTGATCACCAAGAAGAAAACCACCAAGAATGAAGTGGTGAATGTGACTCACCGGGTTAGTTCCATCATTGCAACAACCACCGTTCAAAAGAAAGAAGACCCGGGAGCTTTTACCAATCCATGCACTATTGGGGCACGTGATTTTGCAAGAGCACTTTGTGATAATAGGGCTGGCATCATTTTAATGCCTCTTGCTATTTACAAGCAAGCGGGGTTAGGTATGCCAAGGCCTACAAGTATCGTTCAATAAAGAGACCGGTGGGGATTGTTGATGATGTTCTTGTGAAAGTGGGAAAGTTCTTCCTCCCCGCCGACTTTGTGATCCTTGATTGTGTTGTTGACAAAGAAATCCTATCATATCGGGGAGACCATTTCTTGCTACAGGAAGAGCACTTATGGATTCGAAATAAAATAAGATCAAGTTACGAGTTAATGACGAAGAGGTTACCTTTCAAGCGAGTAAGGGTATGAAGTTGCCACATGCATATGAAAGCATCTCAGTCATTGATGTTGTTGATGAGGTAGAAGACGCAATCGAGATGAAGATGGAAGAACAATGTCTTGGTGAGGCATTGGCGGCTATTTTCGTAAATTTTGATGGTGAAGACATGGAGGGGTACATGGAATCAGTGAATGCATTAGAAGGACTTGGGTCCTATACTTATGCACCAAAAAAACTTTCTCTTGACTTAAAGAATAGAGTCACTCCTCCCGCCAATCCTTCAATTATTGAGGCGCCACAACTTGAGCTCAAACCACTTACACTGCACTTGAGGTATAAATTTCTTTACTCTAATGACACTCTACCAGTAATCATTTCTTCTTTGTTGAATGATGTGTAGGTAAATCAATTGTTGAATGTCTTGAGGGAGCATAGGCAAGCCATTGGGTGGTCAATAGCGGACATCCGAGGGATTCCCGCCAAAATTTGTGAGCACAAGATACAATTGGAGCAAGAGAGCAAACCAAGTGTGGAGCATCAAAGAAGGTTAAACCCTTCCATGCAAGAGGTGGTAAAGAAAGAAATCATCAAATGGTTAGATGTCGGGGTAGTCTACCCCATTGCCGATAGTTCTTGGGTGAGTCCGGTGTAATGTGTTCCAAAGAAAGGAGGCATGACAGTGATTCAAAACAACAAAAATGAGCTCATCCCAACGAGAACAGTGACCGGATCGAGAGTTTGCATGGATTATCGGAAGCTAAACAGTGCTACTTGCAAAGACCATTTCCCTATGCCTTTTATTGATCAAATGCTTGATCGGCTAGCGGAAAGGTCATTCTATTGCTTCTTGGATGGATATTCCGGCTATAACCAAATCAACATCTCCTTGGAAGATCAAGAGGAGACAACATTCACATGCCCATATGGGACTTTTGGCTTTAGCCGTATGCCATTTGGGCTATGCAACGCCCCAGCTACTTTCCGACGGTGCATGATATCAATCTTCTCAGATATGGTGGAAGATTTCTTAGAGGTGTTTATGGATGACTTCTCTGTAGTGGGTGATTTCTTTGAGCATTGTCTTGACAACCTTAGACAAGTGCTCAAAAGATGTGAAGAAACAAACCTTGTGCTAAACTGGGAGAAATGCCACTTCATGGTGGATGAGGGCATTGTTTTGGGCCACAAAATTTCCAAACAAGGCATAGAGGTCGACCGGGCAAAGATCGAAATCATTTCCAAGCTTCCTCCACCCACTTCAGTAAAAGGTGTCTGAAGCTTTTTGGGGCACGCCGACTTTTATAGGCGTTTTATCAAGGACTTCTCAAAAATTGCAAATCCCATGTGCAAGCTCCTTGAAAAAAGATGCAAAGTTTGTATTTGATGAGAAGTGTATAAAGGCTTTTGAAGAATTGAAAGAAAAGCTCACCACGACCCCTATTATTGTCACACTTGATTGGTCTCTTCCATTTGAACTCATGTGTGACGCTAGTGGTGTAGCTATTGGGGCGGTGCTTGGTCAACAGCATAACAAAATCCTTCACCATGTCTACTATGCAAGCAAGACACTTAATGGTGCTCAGATGAATTACACTGTGACTGAGCAAGAACTGCTTGCCATTGTCTATGCTTTTGAAAAATCTCGAGCTTATTTGTTGGGGTCCAAAGTGATAGTTTACACTGATCATGCTACTCTTCGCTATCTTATGGCGAAGAAGGATGCCAAACCAAGATTGATTCGGTGGGTCCTTTTGTTGCAAGAGTTTGACTTTGAAGTCAAGGATCGGAAAGGGACAGAAAATCAAGTTACGAATCACCTATCTAGGCTTGAAGAGGCAGGGAGACCAAAAGAAGGCCTTGAAATCAATGATGCCTTTCCAGATGAGCACATATTGGCATTGTCTAGCACATTGACTCCTTGGTATGCCGACATCGCTAACTTTTTGGTTAGTGACCTTGTTCCCGATGGATTGGAAGCTTATCAAAAGAAAAAGTTCTTGCGGGAGTGTAGGCAATACTACTGGGAGGAACCCTTTTTGTTCCGAATTTGTGCCAACTAAATTATTCGGCGGTATGTTCCGGAAGATGAGGTAATGCCAATTCTCAAGTCATGCCATGATTCTCCTGTTGGGGGTCATCATGGAGGAAATCGGACGGCTGCAAAGGTGCTTGAATATGGCTACTATTGGCCATAAATCTACCAAGACGCAAATCAAATAGTCAAGGCATGCGATCAATGTCAAAGACAAGGGTCAATATCTAAAAGACATGAGATGCCTATGAATTTCGTACTGGAGGTCGAGATCTTTGATGTGTGAGGGATAGACTTCATGGGCCCTTTCGTGAGCTCTTATGGCATGACCTACATCTTGGTGGCTGTGGACTACGTCTCCAAATGGGTCAAGGAAATTGCCTTGCCCAACAATGAAGCAAGGAGTGTGACGCATTCTTGAAGAAGAACATATTCACGCGGTTTGGTACCCCCAGGGCCATGCTTAGTGATGGTGGTTCTCATTTTTGCAACAAGGCTTTCACCGGGCTGCTTGAAAAATATGGCGTAAAGCATAAGGTGGCCACACCTTATCATCCTCAGTGGAGTGGTCAGGTTGAAGTTTCCAATAGGGAAATCAAAAATATCCTAGCAAAAATTGTCAATGCAAACATGACCGACTGGTCAAGGAAGCTAGATGATGCATTGTGGGCATATCGCACAGCATTTAAGACTCTCATTGGCACTTCACTGTACCGGTTGGTTTTTCGTAAAGCGAGTCACTTTCCAGTGGAGCTTGAACATAAAGCCATGTGGGCATTGAAGAAGTTGAATCTTGACTGGGCCAAGGCTGCTAACCTAAGAATGACACAACTCAATGAGATGGAGGAATTCCGTCTCCATGCCTATGAGAGTGCAGCCATGTACAAGGAGAGAATGAATTTTGTCCATGATAAGAAGATCTTGAAGTGGGAATTCCGGTGACTTGGTCTTACTATTCAATTCAAGACTCAAGTTATTTCTAGGAAAACTCAAGTCCATATGGTCTGGCCCGTTCAAAGTTGTGAGTGTGTCCCCCTATGGTGCTTTTGAACTGGAGTAAGAGGATGGAACTTGGAGTTTCAAAGTGAATGGTCAACGAGTCAAGAATTACCTCACTACTACAGGAGAAAGGCATTTGATAGAACAATTCGCTTTAAAGGATAGTCCAACAGCAGCCCCCACCATTGAATTGCCCAAATGGGGTCAACAGCGTCGTGCCGCGACGTTAAATCAAGCGCTTCTTGAGAGGAAACCCATGTGTGGTAACACTCTTTTGTTAGTTATCATTTATGTAGGTTTAGTTGATAGTGTTGAACAGGTTGACGTGTGTGTTAGGGTGCAGGTAGTCCAAAATATCATGAACAAGGTACTAGTGCTGAGGGAAATGAAGGAAAGAAAGGTCCATGGTTTGTGGCAACTATGCGGTCGCATAATGACTTTGCGAACCGCATAGTCATCGCAAACACAACAAAAAAAATTTGGGAAATTGGGTTTTCAAATATGCGGTAAGGTTTCCACTTCTGCGGCCCACATAACAACTTTGCGATCGCAGAATGCATCGTAAAGTAAGTTTGGGCAGCCCAGTCATTAGTTCATCGCACAACACATATGCGACCGCATAATGTGTTATGCGATGGACTTACACGCCGCAAAATGTACAGGAATGGCACCAAAGAAGTCTCTTTCAACACGATCACCACCCGCTCGTGGAAAGAAACGGGCTGCAACTCTGAGCCAACAAGCACAACAGTCCAAACGTCCACGGCCTCAGAAAAATTGCAGCACTTCTGAGCACTCCTCCCAGTCTGAAGAGGAGGAGGCACAGAGTGACCTCAGGCCATCTATTGACCTACAGGCTGAGTCACAACAGAAGATGGGGGAGGATCTAAATCTCAGATTTGGAGTCACAGGCTCCATGAACCTGTACAAAGAAGGGCTAACAAAGAGAAAGATTCTCGAGGAGAAGCAGTTGAGTCTAAACGGGCTGAAGGAGAACTACCCTCACGTGATCGAGAACATTAAGCAGATAAAATGGGAGTTCTTAACTGAAGTCCCGGATCAGTATAATGAGACACTTGTACGGGAGTTCTATGCTTCTTATGGTCCCTCAAGGAATGCTGAGCAAAAGAGAAACATGATATTTGCATTATATGTCCAAGTTCGAGGGGTCCAAGTACTCTGTGATGACGCCACCATTAATGAATTATACATTGAAGATTGGCGGTCAGGCACAGCTGAGTATGAGGCCAAAGTAGCCAACAAGGACAACGAGCGTGCTTGGATTGCATCTGTCATAGCAAAGGGGATACCCTCCTGGATTGACCCACGCCACAAGATTTACAAGCAGGATCTCACACAGGAGGGTCGATATTGGCTCAGTTTCGTCTGCTCCCGTCTGATGCTGAGTAGGAATGAAACTAACCTCAACATTGACAAGGCACTCCTCATTGCGTGCATCATGACAGGAATAAAGATTGTTGTGGGACAGATTTTATTCAGGGAGCTGGGGATCAGATCAAACCAAAAACAAATATCATTTCCCTTCCCATGCTTGATCACTGCTCTATGTAAAGTAGTGAGCGTGCCTACTATGCCAAAGCATGATCGACTTGAGAGAGCTCTCAAAGATATTGACATCACTCGTATCAGTGATGCAGTAGACAATGAAACGAATAATCAAAAGAGGCTTCACTCCCTCATCCATTAGACTCAGCAGCACCTACTGCCCCCATACTACCTGACACCTCTCCTGCCCCAGCTACCTCCAAAGCCACTCCAAAGCCAACCACTTCACAGCCACAAGTTCCTTTACCAGCTCTCTCCAAGCTGGGTCTACTAGCTCGGCACGCTAATGCTAAGGTAGACCGGCTGACAAAAGAAATCCCAAATCTCATCCGGCAAGCATTGATCCCCATCCAAGCCTCAGTGAGCATTCTTCAACAGCAGCATAAATCTTATAAGGATCGCCTAAAGCACTTTGAAGTGCGTCTTGAGAAGGTCGAGCGGGGTGAAGTTGGAGATATGCCCCAGCTCAGGAAAGATATTGATGAACTGAAATCAGAGCTGTAGAATTTGGAGTTTGACTTGACCCTCTTCCTTTCGAAGGAAGGCGAGCAGGGTACTAGCACTTCTATTCCGGGCTTAGAATTTGATTTCACAAACATGATGACAGCTTCAGAGGCACAGGGTATTGAGACCTCAAAGGCTCCAGCTCCCACTATACATATTGACATTCCTTCAGATTAGGGATCCGGAGAGAGATGAGGGAGATTCAGAAGATGAGGAAACAGATGAGGATGCACTGGTAGAGGACACTAAGGGTCATCGAGCCAACAAGGGTAAGCAAGTGGTTGCTTCTACAATTGCACGGGATGAAGAGGAAGCAGCCATGCAGACAACAATTGCACATTCTATAGCAGACATGGTCACCAAGGCACATCCATCGACCACTCAGCCTTCACTAGGAGAGGCTAGCAGCTCCCAGGCCCCAGACCCAGCCTCACAGTAGGTGGAGCTTCCTGCTCCAACCTTGGAGGCCACTATACAGTCTAGGGTACCACATGTTGCTGCCACAGTGCTAGCAGATGACCTTATAGCTGCCCCATATGCTTCAGCTCTTCCGAGCGCCTAGTGCGCCTCAGGAAGTCCCTAAGCTTCACTTTTACATTCTCTATGCATTGGGGACAATGCATGATTTTTTGTTGTGTGTGGGGTAGTCATATTTTGTGTAAACATTTTTTGTAAACATTGTACATAAACTCTTTACTCTTGTAGTATAGTTTCATAGTTAGCAATTAATTCCCATTGGTTTTTCTTCGCTGGGTTCTTTTCCAAGGGTGTAATAGTAGAACCACGGCAGTAGCATGAAATATTTTGACTTATTCGGTGTTAACTGTTCTAGCTTCAAGCATGTGATGAATTGTGTAAATAAATGGTACCCTTCCTTCTTTTGCATATATAAAAAAAGATTTGGTTAGTCATTCTTGTGAACTTGAGGCTCGCTCTTTGGCTTTAGGCTTATTCAGAATCTTACATATCTTGAGATGAAAGTTTTGAGTTGCCTTGCATTCACTTGAGGGCTGAAACTATGTTGAGTTGAACAGTTCATGCGTTGTGAGTGAGGATTTGTATAAATAATGTATATGCTTAACTTGTAATGTCTAGAACTTGCCCGGTTGGTTTCTTATTGCAACTCTCAGGTTAATGATTGGATGCTGAAATGATCTTAGGCTCTCTTTATGACTACTAGCTAGTTTTGCCCAAATTGACCTCCCTGGTACATCAATTACCCTGGTTATCCCCGTTGAGCCTTTAACCTTTTATTGGCTGCCACATTACAAACCTTTACCCTTTTTGTGAAATAATTCCTTCTTTTGAACCCATCCCTCCTTGAACGGGTAAGAATGAGGCTAAAAGCCTAAGTTGGGGGTGCCGGTACAAAGTGGAAATTGGTAAGGTTTACGACTGTGTGTAGAGAAAAAAACAACGTCAACCTCAAAGTTGTGTATATAACGAAATGCAAGCTCCAAAAAAAAGCAGTTGTAAAAAAAAGTGTAAAGAATAGAAAAAGAGTGGAGTCCTGTGGAAACTAAAGAAATACTATGAGATGGTTCTATGTCGGTAACTCGAGGTCAATAAGTGCTATGTAGTAAAGAAGCAAAATGTATGTAGAGTTCAAGGAGGGTATAGCCACTACATTACCAAATATTCATCCAACCCGTCTCGAAGCCTACATTACAACCCGTGAAAAGTCCTTAGTGATCTACAATCAATCATTCCTGAGATAGCAGCAAGTTAAAATAAGGGCAAGCATATGGACTGATACTTGTAGCATGTAGATTTCGTTCCGAGTGCAAGAGTGTTTTGATTGCATCCCCTGTACATATGTGTGAGTTGGGGATTTTCTTTGTTGTGAGCGCGCATGAATTGCAAGATTTAGCAGAAGTTAGGTTCTTGAAGTAGAATACAAGTGCACACTTAGCTGTGAATAGCATTTTGTCATTTTGGTTGAGGCTCGAAGTTCACAAGTTGATTAGCTGAATAGTTAAATGATAGTTGTACTCCAGGAAGGGTAAATAAAAGAAGTTACATGCTTGTTAGTAGTCAGTCAAAACCATTTACAGTCACTACTATTTTGTGACATTTCGGAAATAGAAGTAGTATAGAATAGGATAATTTTGTTTTAGTTGCTTGAGGACAAGCAAGAGTTTAAGTTGGGGGTGTTGATGTGCCATAGAATTTCGGCACTTTTGATACCAATTACATGGACTTTAGTTCGTCTTTCAATGCATTTGTAGTTAAATCTTATAAAGTTTTTGGTGTTTTTGTAGTGTCATAGNACACAATCTGGACAGCTACAAAGGATAAATGAACTAAATGCTGCATATTTAGGTCTACAATATCCTTTGCTTTTTCCTTACGGTGAAGATGGGTACAGAGAGGACATTCCTTTAAGTCAAGGTTATGAATCATCGAGAGGAAGGCAATGTGTTAGCATGCGAGAATTTTTCGCTTATAGAATTCAGGAAAGAAAAGAAGAAGTTCCCACCATTGTGTCTTCAGGAAGACTATTTCAGCAATTCTTAGTTGACGGTTATACAATGATAGAATCTTCTCGGTTGAAATTTATAAGGACTCATCAAAAGAAATTAAGAGTTGATTCTTATAAAGTCCTAGCAGATGCTATATTACATGGTGACATCGATCCTTCATCCCAATGTAAAAGGATAATTCTACCTTCAAGCTTTACAGGGGGTGCACGATATATGGTTCAGAATTATCAAGATGCTATGGCAATATGCAAATATGAATAGTTAAATGATAGTTGTACTCCAGGAAGGGTAAATAAAAGAAGTTACATGCTTGTTAGTAGTCAGTCAAAACCATTTACAGTCACTACTATTTTGTGACATTTCGGAAATAGAAGTAGTATAGAATAGGAT